CAATTTAATATTATTTTTAATTTTTAATTTTTATGATTAAATTTAATTTTTTAATTAAATTATATAATATTTATATTGTTTGTTAATTTAGTTTTTTCAATTTTAAACAAATAATATTTATAACTTTGTTTAATTTTCATACCTTTTGTTTATTTGTTTTTTGTTGTTATTATAAATTTTTTTTTGGAAATAATTTTAAAATTTCCTAATAATTTTTTTCATATTTTCAATAATTTTTTTCAATTTAAAATTATTTAAAATTCTGAATTTTCTATAATTTATTTTTTTATGTCTGTCTTAATTCGATTTGCTTAATTTTTTGAAATTATGATTATTCTATTATCTTTTGTTGAAGGTTTTAATATTTGAGACAGATGGCGAGAAAATGTACGTGCAACAATAACTTTGATAGTTTTACTATTATGTTGGAGTTGTTGGACGATTAGCATGCATATATCATACGCTAGTCCTTTTTGTGGTCCTTGTATCAGTTGAAAGAGGTACAGTACTCCAGACAGATTATTGAGTATTACTATATGGCTGCTTAGGCTAATTGACGATGATACCCTTCACTTTGATGTCGGGGACAATGTCGCTATTTTCTCCATGTTTGAGTTTGCCCTTGTGACTGGATTGAAGATAACGGACAATGAGACAGCTACTGATGGTACTTAAAGAAGTAATAGGTTGCACGAGACGTATTTTTAGGGACAGAGGACGATGCTTCTACGCAGTTGATCAGCATAATCAGGGACATGAGACGATGCTTCTACTACAGGTGCAAGTGTTATCAGTCAAGTTCACCATGTATGTCATATTACGTGCACATTTCAGGGAGAAGCAACTAATCTAGTGGTTCCACATTCAACTTTCTCGCAACCTCTTCAGCTTTGAAGAGTATCCTCTTGGGCAGGGGCTAGCACGCTCATGTAATTTTGTGATTCCGCACGTCGGTCGTGAAACCACTGTTGTGGCTTGTTACGAATGTTCTCAATCATTGCGATGATTGATAACTCTCTATCCTTCTTGAATAATGCATTGAGAGACTCTGCATTGTTTGACATCATCATAGTGTATCGATGTCCTAGAAAATGTGATCGCCCAATGTTCAATTCTCATTTTTGTTAGATACTCCCATGCCGGGATTGATTCATTTCCTATTTTCTCCATGAATTTATTGCATTTTTCAACACTATAAGTTTCGACCGTTCTCCTAAACAATGAAACAATGTCTTTGTTTTGATACCCAGTCTTCGGTTACCTTGTATATAGTACATGTAATACTCATTATGTGCCTCGAGAAAAGTTTTAGCGATACCATTTATTATAGATGGTCCCCAATCAATTATAAAGGCGAGGTCCTAGACTTTTCCGATTACTTCCCTCAGCTTTGTAAAGAACTAACGCATTGACAGATCATTCTCGCTATCGACTATGCTGAATGCAAGAGGATAAATTTGGATGTTGACATCTTGAGATATAGCAATAACTAACTTGTCTTCGTATCTAACTTTTGGAATTGTACCATCGACTAAAATTAGGGGTCACATTGCATTTCGAAATCTCTAAATGCATTGTCCAAGAGTCATGAAGAAAAAGCAATTCTTGCCCTCCGTCTCAATAAAAAATGTAGAGTCAGGATTAATTGTACCCATGTTATGGCAATACTTGACTAATTTAGTATAGCTCTCCTCAGCCGAGCCTATAAAGTCATCCAACGTGCATTCTTTGGCTTCCCAAGCCTTCTGGTAATCCATGACCACTCCGTACTTTTGGCTGACTTCTTTAATGATGTTCGAAGGTCTGTAGATCATCTGTGAGTCCTGATACTTGTATATTATCTACTGAGCAATAAACCATACTCGGACTTGCCTGTGATCATTTCGATGAATTTCCACTCCGTAAGTATGTTCTCGTGTATACTTGCAAACTACAAATAACTCATTCGTGTCCATCTTCGTCCCTCTTAAATGCCAACGGCAACTATGTCGACGCAGACAATCGTCGTCAACAATAACTTTTTTGATTTCTTCACTTTGAACTCAAAGTTATATTTTAGTGCAATTTGGTGCACAGCTTCCTGTAAATCTTTCTTTGTTTCAAAAAGACATACAAATTCTCATCATCAAGAACCATACACGAATAATTAGATGACGATCCACTCGATCCAGCCCCTGCACTCCTGACCCACTCATGTCTCGACGGGATAAAGCAATCAAATCTTCATTGTAAATTCATTATCGTGAACTATCGATGAAATTCTGTGTGTAACAGCGAAATCACGATGATGAACAACTGTCTCGAGAATAACCACATCATCCTCACGGAGCTATCTCCATTGCGTCCCAAAAATCATTGACATTGTGATCCCCTTCATCCGAATCTTCGTGTTCACCTTCGGTGACATTCTTCTTCACTAAAGTCTCGCAAAGAGTAATCTGTGCATTTTCTTCAATTCAAATAGATAATTCGATAATTCACTTTAGCATTATAAGTAACCTTCATATGTGGAAGCAGAATGAATGAATGCTTCTTGAATTGAAATTTCAGTTCCATATTGTCCTGAAAGAGATCGATTTTCAACTTAGTTTGTAAATCATGGTACATTTCCACATATGATGTGCTCGATGTTATGAAAATTGGAATACCACCACGTATATCACTCGTCCATTTTCATATACATCGATCTTTTTCATCAAATTTAAAATCACCAAGATAACAAACTGAAACTACAGCCATATCTGCATGACGAAATACAATTTTTTATTATAAAAAAAATAGTCAAAAAATGGGTCCAATCACTGGATTGTTAGTAGTTAAAAATGTAGCTTAACAACTGGTTGTTACGACCATGATATGCAAATGAAATTTTTTTCTTATTCATGCTTAAAAAACTTATAGATCTGTTACAAAAAAATATTTACATGTTAATCTATGTCGAAATAAGATTTATCGATTAAAAACGTATATTAATTTAACGAAAAAGAAATTAAATATACATAAATATACT